AAAAAAAAAAAGAAAAGAGAGAGAGAGATAAATTTAATTGCAGAGAGAAAGAAAGATAGAAATAAAGATTGAAAACAAGGATTCGTAGATTCGTGTATATACCATAGAAAATAAAAATACAATAAAACTAAACAATTTTGATAATAATGGAAATAAACAACGGTATTATCGATAATAATTCTAGCAATTACGATAATTATACTAATTACGATAATACGAGCAACCTATCATACGATTTAATAATGTCTAATTTAAGCGTACAAATAATATTTTGCATATTTTACGGTAATATATTTATATTAGGTGTATTCGGTAACGTATTGGTTTGTTACGTTGTTTTACGTAATCGTCAAATGCAAACAGTAACGAATTTATTTATCACTAATTTGGCATTCAGCGATTTATTGTTGTGCGTATTGGCAGTACCATTTACACCATTATACACGTTCCTGGGTGGTTGGATATTTGGAAGAATGTTGTGTCATTTAGTACCATACGCTCAAGGTGTTAGCGTATATATCAGTACATGGACATTAACAAGTATAGCCATAGATCGTTTCCTTGTTATATTGTATCCCTTTCATCCACGTATGAAAATTGAAATATGTTGGATTATTATATTTGGTATATGGATAATTGCATTACTTTTAACATTGCCATATGGATTTTATATGCAATTCGTAGAACCGCACACCTATTGCGAAGAACAATGGCCGAGTGAGCCATTTCGTAAATTATTTAGCTCGTTTACAACGATATTACAATTTCTCGTGCCGTGTTGCGTTATTACTATTTGTTACATATGCGTATGGATTAAATTAAATAATAGGGCACGTTCGAAACCCGGCAGCAAAAGTAGCAAACGGGAGGAAACAGATCGCGAAAGGAAAAAACGTACGAATAGAATGTTGATAGCCATGGTTATTATTTTTGGTTTTTCTTGGCTACCATTGAATATCGTTAACATCGTCGACGATTTTTATCCAACTGCCAACGAGTGGTCTTATTACGGATTGTTCTTTTTTACTACTCATTGTCTTGCCATGAGTAGCACCTGTTACAATCCATTCCTCTACGCCTGGTTAAACGACAATTTTCGCAAGGAATTCAAACAGGTGATTATTTTAAAGTATTCTTGATTTCTTTTTTTCATCAATGAATGTTTTTTCTTTTTTTAATTTCATTTCACCAAATTTTCATACCAATTATATACTTTATCTCAACTTTTACCCTATATTTATATATTTTAAATATTTATATAATATATAAGATATATAAATATATAAATATTTATATAATATATATAATTATTAAATTAATATATATGAGTTT